ATCAGCATAGCATCGGCCGTTGCGTTCACTTGGGGAGTGAATCATTGGACGGAAGAGCTTCCTCTCTGTCTCTCCTCTCTGTATATCCACCTTTCCAGTAAATAATAATAATAATAATAATAAATCTTTAAAAAAAAAAAAAAAGAAAGCCTGGTCTGGGCTGCAGAGGAAGGGCCTGGGTTCTGGTCATGGCTCGCCCTGCTCTTCAGCTGGCCCCAGGTCTCTGACACAGGTGCCCCTTCCCAAGCCCTCCACTCTCCTGGGAGAGGTTCTATTAGCCCCAGTACTCCTTGCAACACACCCCCCAACACTAAGACAGCTGCTCTCTGGTCCAGTGGGGTCCCACAGGATGCTGTGAGTATCCTTTCTGGCATGGTCAGGTGGCTGCTCCGCAGCTTGGAGCAAGCAGGATGGTAGCCAGCGGGATCTGTGCCCTCAGGCCAGGGATGGCCCCTCCTCGCTCCTCTCTCACACCTTGGTTTCCTCATCTGTCACACACCTAACAATAATAGCTGCTTGTGGGCACTGGGGCCCTACAACAGGGCCTGACTACCACGGGCTCCCAGTGTGCTGGGTATTGAGGTGGTTCATGACCAAGGTGCCCAGTGGGCCCGTCGGGTATTTGGAGGTTTCAGAAAGGGAAGGGAAAGGGTCAGCTGCCTGACAGGGGTAGAGGGAAGAGGAAGCCTTCTATGTGTGCTAATCCCTGGGCAAAGCTGTGAGGCTTGAGCCCTTTGCTAGAACCATCTGGGGGTGGCGGTGCTTTGGTGTCCAGGCTTCCTGGCTGGGGAGCCCAGCCCAAATCTCCGTGGACCTGTGTGATCCCAGTTCCTTCTGTTGGTAGGTAAGGCTCCATATTTAGAAGGTCTTGGATCCATCAGTGATTTCCCAAAGATCACGAAGTCAGGGCTGGGTCATGGAGTTAAACCACTGTCTGTGCCCCAGCATCCCATATCAGAGCATGAGAAATCCCAGCTATTCCACTTTTTGAAAAGAAAAAAAAAAAACTATTATTATTTTGATAGACACAGTTACAGAAAGGAGAGTCACAGAGGAAGAAAATGATTTTTCCTCCACTGGTTCACTTCCCAAATGGTAGTGATGGCCAGAGCTGAGCCCATCTGAAGCCAGGAACTTCTTCCAGGTCTCCCATGTGGGTGCAGGGGCCCGAAGAACTTGAGCCAATCTCTGTTGCTTTCCTAGCAACCAGAAGCAGAGAGCTCGATTGGAAGTGGAGCAGCCAGGACTTGAACCAGTGCTTATATTTGATGCTGGTGCTGTGGGCAGAGGCTTAGTCTACTATGCCCTGATGCCAGCCCCCGCTTCACTTCTGACCCAGCTTCCTGCTAAGGTACTGGAAAGGCAGCAGATGATGGTCCAAGTGCTTGGGCTCCTGCCACCCACGTGGGAGGCCAGGACAGAGGCCCAGGCTCCTGGCAATCGGGGACACTGAGGTTATCTGAGGGTGAACATATCACCCCACTTTACAAATGAGGGGTTAAGTATCCGTTTCACATTACACAGCCAACGTTCTCCTAACCGCATGTTGCGTGGCTCCTCCCATCTCGCTGAGCTTGGAGCCCATCTCCTCCTCCTGGCCAGGCATGAGCAGCCGATCCTCCTCTCCCTCCTGGGCCAGTTGTGTGTTCCCTCAGACCCTCAACCCTCCAGTCCCCAGTTTCTTCTTCTGTCCCAAAAGGACCTCAAACTTTCCCACCAACACAGAACCAGGAGAGTCAGGGCACTTCTGGACCCAGAGAGATCCACAGTTGCAGGATCTTGACCCCTAGTAAGTCTTGGGGAAAGGAGATGTTGTGAGGGCAGGTGAGGGCTCCTGGAGGGACCACCTAGGGAAGCCCCTTTCACAGCGACAGTCCATAGTCAAGTGTGCCCACTTCCCCTGACTTGGCATTGCAAGCCACCTGTGGGAAGCTTGGTGCACCCCAGCCCTACCATGTGCCAAGGTGAGGTTTCTTATGATGTCAACTCCTCACACTGCTCACTCAGTGGACACAGACCCTGGAACCTAGCACATCAAAGGCTGAGCCACTTTCTCCCCCTGCCAGTTCCATGCTGCTGCCCCTGGTGTCACCACCACCAGCTCTGAGCCCCAATCCACATCCCGGTGTCAACCTTGCCCTCTCTGTCCCCAGGGCCACCACCCCAGCTGCAGTCAAGAACCTGTCCATCCGCTCCCATCTGTGAGACGCCCTCTGTGGCCCCTTCTATTCATCTGACCAACCCATCTCTGGTCTAGCCTGCTTCCTTCTCTCCCTCCTTTGCTTTGTCCCACGCACCACAACCCATACTTGGCTGGCTGGCTGAGACACCTTTCTTTTCTACTTTGCCTCCAGATCCTGGCTCACCCTAACCCCTCTTCTTGCCCGGCCCACCCTAATTCCTCATCTATGAATGGCCACCTAATAGTTGAGGAGCAAGGATAGTACAAATTATAACAGGGGATCCATCTGGAGAAGTAGCAAGTTACTGCCGATGAAGGTACTAACATATATAGCTTCTCAAATTCTTTCCCAGTCTATCGTGGCATTTTATCGTTGATTTAGTGTTATGGGGGAAAGGTGCACACCGTCACAGGCACCTCCTCCCAGTCTGCCCTACACACACACACACACACACCACACATACACCACACACCACACACATACACACACACACATACACACACACACATACACACACCACACACTCACACACACACATACACATACCACACACGCATACACACACCACACACACATACACACACTCACACACATACACACATACACACACCACACACACATACACACACCACACACACATACACACACACCACACCATACACACATACACACACCACACACACATACACACACATACACACACCACACCATACACACATACACACACCACACACACATACACACACATACACACACACACACACATACACACACTCACACACATACACATACACACACACACACCCCAATCTGACACACACACCCAACACACACAACACACACATACCCAACATACACACACATACACACACACACACCAATCTGACACACACACCCAACACACAACACACACACCAATCTGACACACACACCCAGCACACACACACACCAATCTGACATCTTGGGCCCAGGCCAGGGGCAGACAAGTGGGGCCAGGTGTCTCCCTTTACTCAGATCTGCTCAACCTTGCCCACAGCAGAGACCAACACAATCATGTTCTTCCCAAAGACAGCTGAGACACCAAGGCCCACAGACCCAACCCTAGTGATGGGCTTCCCCATTCCTGCCCATCAGTTAAGAAAAGTTCAGGGGCCAGTGGTATAGCAAGCTAATCCTCCACTTGTGGTGCCAGCATTTCATATGGGTGCTGGTTCGAGTTCCAACTGCTCCAGTTTGGATCTAGCTCCTTGGTTATGGCCTGGGAAATCAGCAGAGAATGGCCAAGGTTTTGGGCCCCTGTACCCCACATGGCAGACCAGGAAGAAGCTCCTGGCTCCCAGCTTCGTACCAGCTTGGATCTAGCCATTGCAGTCACTTAGGGAATGAATCAGTGGATGGAAGATCTCTCTCTCTCTCTTTGTAACTTTCAAGTAAAGTAAATAAAATTTTAGAAAGAAGAAGAAAAAAAAAAAAAAAGAAAAGAGCTCAGGCTCAACTCTAAGCCCCCCACCCCCAGGTGGCAAGAAGCCAGGTTAAGAAGCCACCCTTTGATGATGCAGGCAAGTGGTGGCAGAAGGCAGACCATGAATGAGCCAAGCTCCAGGTGTGGGTGCCGTGGGCCAATCGACTTCACCCACAAAACCCAACTCCACAGACCAAGTTAATCAACAGCTTGACACCAAGCCCCTGGAGAATTAAACCTCAAGTTGGGGCCCCCTAAGCTGGGACATCTGTGGAACTGCTCAGGTCACTTGCCCAGGAAGCTGTCCCTGTCCTCCTCCTTTGGGTCTCAGCTGCAACATCCAGCCCTGGCCCCAGGACCAGCTTGGCCCTGTCCCTAGATGGCCTAGCATCCCTCAGCTTCATCCATCTCCACCGCCATTTCCCTGTCTTATTTAATCAGCTTAACGGTAACTTCCTGGAACAATGGGTCTGATTAAGCTCCCTGACGAAGGGAATAGGTCTGTTCATAGCTCCATGCTCAGTGAGTTCCAGGACTACGGCAGCAGGAAGTTAGTGCAGAAGTGAGCCCAGAGCCTCCCTTCTTAGAAGCCGCCTTCCTCAGACACCCACAGGCAGCCCCCGGGCCAAGGGCCCCTGCCTTCCTCCCTCCTGTCCCCTCTGGCTGAGAGAACACAGCAGCGGCTGGCGGCTGGTGTGGTGGGCTCCTCCCTTTTTCCCTCCTCCTTCTTATCGCTGACATCCTATCTGTCGTATTTGCGGATCACCTCTGCCTCTTGCGGGGAGCTCACCCCCTCAGGTCCTGGAGCCCTGACCGTACCCCGAGGAGGCTGGGGAGCTCCAGCTCATAGCCCTGGAAGAAACCCCTGTGGCCACCAGCACACACTGGAGGCAGCCATTTTGTCTCAAGATGCCAGAAGCACAACGGTAACTTGACACCTGTTGTGGAGGGCAGAGTCACTTGCCCAAGTCCGTCAGCCTCTGACCCAAGGCCTGAAAATAGTTCACCTGAAGGCTAAGGAGGTCCCCAAGACCGACGCTGAAGGCCAGTCTAGCCTGCCAGGGCTCGGAGTCGCAGATCTGGTAGTGAGGCCGAACATGCCTGGTCTTTTTCATGGGAATAATGATGCAACCGCACCGAGGAGTAACTTCCCCCAGGATTAATCATGGAGCTTGAATGACACAACAAACTGTTTAGCACCGAGCTGGACACTACGGAGTCCGCCAGCATGACTGCTTAGCTATGGGGTGGGCAGGTTCCTCCCTGTCCCCTCTCTCGGTCTCGGTGGCCTTGGTTCTTTGCCCACAGAACAGCGAGGTGAGCAAGGGCCAGGGCAGTCTGGCCCACGTTCTTACCAGGCCAAGGTTCAGTGAGTTGTTGTCATCCTCGGGCATGGGCAGGTACACAGCCAGGGCCACACAGTTGGCAAAGATGGTGAGCAGAATGATGGTTTCAAAGGGTCTGGGGTCTGGGTTAAGGAGGGCCAGCGAGTAAGGCATGGGGGTGGGGGGTGCAGGATAGAGGAGAAGCAAGCACCGGCTCCCTCTGAGCTGTGACTGTAACACCACGTGGTGCGTTGTACCCAGCACTCTGCCCTGTTGCCCCTTTCCTGCTCCGCTGCGGGGCCTCCCCTGAGGGCTCAGTCCCCACTCCCCAGAAGCAGGGCGCTTCCTCTCTGTGAGCCCTCAGAGATGCTGTTCCCGGCACACAGTTACTCTGTTCCACTCTAGGCACATGTGTGAGCCGTGTTGCCACCTCCTCTTCCTCCTTGGAGCCATGATTCTGAGATGCCGGCCAGGGCCCCTGCGGGAGCTCACCCATAAAAACAGGTAGGGGCCAGGGGCTGCTGCAGACCTGGGGCTCAGCACCTGCCACACAGGGCTCAGTCCCCAGAAGCAGGTGAGCGGCCTTCCTGGACTGCGTGACCCCAGACAGCAGGCGTGCAGGAGCTGGGGAAGGGTAGAGAGAGGGAGAGTGAGCTGCTGGGGCAGGCAGGCACACCGCACACATGGAGGGAGGGAAAATCCAGCTTTCCTTCTTGAGCAGTCGAGGCAGCACAAGAGGCAGTGGGGGAGCCCTGGCAGGAGGCAGGTGGAGAGAGAGAGGCCCAGGTGAGAGTACTGCAGCCTTGTATGGCTGCAGGAGCAGGGCTGCCCTTGGCTCCACACGGCAATCTCACTCCACTCCATCTTTCCAGCCTCCTCACTCTGCTTTCTCCCAGGGAACAGCTGGAGGCAGCCCAGCCTTCCCAAACCCTTAGGAAATATTCCGAGTATTCCCGAGGAGCTGCTCCCACAGCCCACCTGACTCAGGCCTCCCCTCCTCTCTGGGGCTCCTGCCTGCCTGCCACAAATAACCCAGGCATTGTCATCATTCCTGCTCTCTCCCAGAGCTCCTTGGGGGAGGGATGTGGTCGCAGGCCTCCAGCAACCCTGGCTCTCTCCTCACTGTCAGATCCACTAGGAGGTGGGGGTTTGGGAGGGGGCTTTCAAGTGGCCACAAGGAGTCAGCTGCCACTCCCGAGACCCCGGCCATGCCCTTGATGATGGAGATTTGAGCACAGCTGGCCGCCATCTATATGAAGTGGGCCCTGCCATCCATGACTGTGGCTGACATCCAAGACTGGAGCTGCCTGCCCGCTGGGGCTCCACAAGTCTCAGCAGTCCCTCTCTCCCCTGCCTCATGCCTTGGCAGTGCCCCTCTGCCAAGTCCCCGGCTGCCGCTGTCCCTGGGGTGTGTGTGCTCCCAGCCCCCTGCCCCGCCTGCCTGAAGAAGGATACTTCCACTCCACGATGCTGATGCAAGCCTTCCTCAGGGGGTTCTGGAGGGTCAGGCAGAACAGCGCCCGGGGCGGCCTGGGCAGGAGCTCCGGCAGCGGCTTCTTGGGCTGTTTCTTCCTCAGGCCCTCGTCCTGCGGGGAGGATGGCTCCATGGCTTCCTCCTGCTCCCCTGCCCCACGGCCCTCTCTTCCCTGCGTCCCCAGTGCCCCGCTGCCTCGGGGACTGGACGGCTGAGTTTGCTGGGCCGAGCCTGGCCTGCTGAGCCAGCCGTGGGCGGGGCAGGGGTGGCAGGATTAGGCTCCCTGCTCCCAGTAGTAAAATTAGCCTCCCCTCGGCTCCCTGCTGCAGGCAGTCACCGCGGGACTGTCCAAGCCAGGCAGCTGTCATTCTTCCCGGCCCAGCCAGTGACATCCCAGACTGAGCCCCCTCCCCCGCGAGGGTGGGGGTAGGGGACTCATACACACCCTGAGTAAGGCAGAAGCAGTCCAGCCTGGATGGAAATGAGGTAAGGTCGGGGCATTGGAGTTTGGAGTATGGCAGCCTATGATATGGCACCTTCAATTCAGACCAGCTCCCCATCTCAAGGCTAAGTTTGGGGTCCTCACTTACCTACCCACCCAGCCAGGAACTCCCCGCCCCACTCCCCAACGCCATGCTGTCCATCTCAGACCTGCCCAGGCCAAAGCTTCTCTTACTTGCATCCCAACTCTTGCATGCCCCACATGAGGGTCATGGTGAACTTCCTCCCAATAGGGTGGAAGGCTCCTGAGGCCACATGGAGGGTGCACACGTTTAGCATAGCGCTCGCCACGCTGTGGTGACCCTCCCTTCCCACCTGTGCAATGGACGTGTGTCTCATCTCTGGGTCCCTGCCACTCCTGTGTGTTTCCTGGTGAATGCTGAACTCTCTGCGCTTGTTTTGTGGGGTGCTGCATAAGCAGGACACTGCACCCCAGCCCCAAGTGTCCCGGACCCTGGAAAGGCGTGTGAAGGTGCATCAGGGTGGGCAAGGGCGGAGGATCATCCAGAAGTCACCAAGTCTGATAGTCCTTTTATTTAGCCCTTTGTGCAAACACAATGCCCGTGTGTCCCTGGAGGCTTACAGTCTGGGGGCAAAAATCGCAGTCCTTGTTGCAATCTGGGCAAAAGGAGAAAGCCACCTGGCAGGGGGTGGGAGAGGGACTGAGGAGGGGGGAGCAGGAGGGCAGGGCCCTCCAAGGAAGAAGCCACTGTGACCACCAGCACACACACCCTGCCTCTTCCCTACACCTGTCTGTCCCAAGGGGGCTGGGTGTCCTCTCCATCCTCCAAAGTTGCTAGTATTTTCAGCCAGGCATGGCACTTTCTAGTCTGGCTTGCCCAAGGCTGCCGCAGACATCAGTGAGGGTCTTGCCGCCACGGAGGACGCAGCAGAGCCACCACTTTCCCGCTTTCACCAACCAGGAGCAGAGGCAGAAGTGGAGAGTCAGGCTCGGAGGTAACAGTGCGCAGCGGCCGCTCCCAGCACCCGCTGGGGATGCCTCCAGTAGCTGTCTCTCTGCCCCTGCCCCTCCGCCTCGAGCGGAGGTGGGATGGGGTGTTGGAAGGATGTCACAGCGGCCTCCACGCTGCTCCTGCGTGGGACGGAGTCTGAGGGCTCCTCCTCCGCCCCGCGAGTCCCCGGGCGGCCTCAGGCCGGATCAGTGGCTGGATTCCTCCGACTCTAAGAAAGGCGAGGAGGAGGAGAAGCGGGAAGACTCGGCAGACTCGGGCGGTGCGCGGGCGGGGCCGTCGGGTGGCGTGCTGAGCAGCTCCTGCAGGTGCTTGATGTAGCGGATGGCAGCGCGCAGCGTCTCCACCTTGCTCAGCCGCTTCTCCGCCAGGGCCCCCGGCAGGTGGCCACGCAGGCGCGCGTAGCCCTCGTTGACACACTTGACCCGCTGCCGCTCGCGCTCGTTGCGCTTCTGGATGAAAGCGGGCTCGAAGGGATAGTCATAGACGCCGAAGGCGCCAGGGAAGGACACGTAGGGGAACACTCCTGCGTAGGCGTCGCAGTAGGGCGGCTCCGCGGGGCCTGGGTACAGTAGGAAGGGTGCGGGCCCCAGGGGCTCGGCGGGGGGCAGGGGCGCCTGTGGGGGCGGCGGCATGACGCCCAGCTGCATGCACGTGGGGGGGCCCACAGGTCTCCGGTCCACCAGGGCTCTGCAGAAGTTGTTATTCATGGTGCTGCGTGGAGCGGGGCCTGAAGTGCAGAGACCCTCACTGCGTGGCCCCTGCCGGGGGTGGAGGAGTGGGGGTCTGCCCTGGCCTGGCCACTGGGACAAGTCACATCTCCAGCAGCTGCTCCGGGAGCCTGTGTGTTAAGGCCTCCCTGCGCCCTGTGGGGTAGCTCCCCAGGACACCCTGGCTCAAGCCATGGCTCGGGCACGTGTAGCCCCAACCGGGGGTTCAGCCGGAACCATCTCCAGTCCAGCGCCTGGCACTGTGCTACTCTCAGGGCCCTCGCCCTCCCTCTCAGCACCCATGGGTGAACAAGTGACCTCTGCCCTTGCCTGCAACCTGCAGCCCAGTGAGGGGCCCTCCCCGGGCACTAACCCCGAGGCCCCATGCCAGGGTCCCCGCAGTGCTTCGTTCTTGTTCCTGAAGGCCTTTGAGGTCCCAGGCTGTTCTGGTGAGTGGCAGCAGCTGAGTCAGCAGAGGGCGTCCCCCAGGGCGTGTGTTTCTGAAGAGGAGGAAAAGGAAAGGTCAGTTAAGAGGCTTCTTGGGGTTGCTCCTTCTTTGCGTGGGTTGGGAACATCTTGAAGGGGACCCAGATGTGGCTAGAACTTTGCATTTACCCTTGGATACCTGGTGATCTTTGATCTGCGGTTTCTATAGAGACAAGGACAACATCCTCGCAGGAGAGGACTCACTCGTGAGAACCAAGTAGGAGCCGGAGGCAGCCCCCAGTGGCTCCTGCAGGGTCTTGCTTTCCAGGGACTGACTCCCTGAGACCTTTGGAACCTGACCTTCCCCAACAAGGGGACTCAGGAGTTGGCAGGTCAGCAGTGGGTGCCTCAGGAGGAATCACACGGCTCCATATAAGGCTGGGCTGCCAGCCACTCAGATGTCTGCCAGGGACAGCCACACGAGGTACCAGAGGTCTGGGATCCACACTCCCCAGGTGGGCCTGGGTTTCTCCTTCATGGTACGTTCCCACCTTCCCTCCTGTATGCCCCCAAGGCAAGCCAGCCCCTGGCACGAGACAGATGCCACACGGATCACAGCGGAGTCCCTGGGGATTAGGCAGAAGGCTGGATTTGTTGGGCTGGACCTGGCCCCACAGGGCTTCTCCCCCAGCTGTAAGGAAGCTGTTATTTCAGAAATGAGGGGTCTGTGCTGAGCCAGGTGCCACCAAGCCTCCCCACAAGTGATGTTATCAGATCCAAGGTAGGTAGGCGTCACCTCCCAGTCCATGCCCCCTCCCCTGCTTGGCCACACTTCAGCCTGCTGCGTGGGGAGGAGATGGGGGCGGGGGTATGGATTGCAGTCCACAGAGAGGACAGCAAGGGGCCAGCTCCTTCCTGGCTAAGGGGAGCCCTGGGGCAAGTTGGGTTTCCTAGGAGCGTGTCTCCTTCTGCACCTTCTCCTGCAGTCCCCGACCCTGCTGTCAGCTAGCTTTTTCCAGTGTGCTGAACGAGGCCAAACAACAAACCAACCAAAAAAACAGCAGTGGAGACTTGCACATGCTCTCGAAGGGAAACAGACACAGGGGTCTTTATGACTTCAAGAGAAGTTTCTAGAAAAAATAAGTCTCCCAGACACACCCTCAGTTCCTCTTGATATCTTTGTTCATTCTTGATTTCATATCTTGGCTGCTTGTCTCAAGGGTCCTGGCTACCACCTACACTTCTCTGCCCACTCTGGTCCTGCTGTCCACTAGAAGGCATGCTAACTCCAGTCCCTGGCCACGAACACGGGCTTCCCAGCCCCGACCCAAGTGTTAGGCACCAAGAGGAGCTGACTTTTCATGGCTGAGGTAAACCACCTTTGAGGATGCTGCATTGTAGGGAGGACGCCTGAGTCTGGCACCTTGGCTGTGCTTCTGCCTAAGCCAAAAACTAAAGCAAACAAGCAAACAACAAAAGAACAAAACAAATAAAAAACAGAGCAAGGCTTCTCCCACCCACACCTGTACCCTCACCCCCGCGGGTTGGGGGGCAGGATCTGGTGGCTGCAAACTGCCCTGCTTCCAACTCATTGGACTAGGCAGAAGCTGTTGTGAACAGCGCCACAGTGTGGTGATGAGAAGTGGTGCAGCAGCCGGTGGCCATTTTCTGCACTGTGACCTGTCCAAAGGGTGCGCAAGTTGTGACTCCGGACGTGTTAGGGAAAGTTCAGAGCGCCTCTGAGGAAGACAGTGGCTGTGCTTTCTTTCAGTGTCTTCTTTGATCCCCGAGTCTGTGAATGAATTCACAGCATGTAAACTCTTACATATACAGGTGAGTAAAACTCACATACAATTAAATGTGATTTGTTTTGAATTAAAGACAACATACTACATCATTAAACTTACTCAGAAAAGTGTGGTTCTGAAAGAGAACACAGTGGTTCTCCCTCTGAGTGTGGAAGGACTCTGGCTGCATTAACCTATGTGTGTTAACTTCCAAGCCACAGACGACCAGCTGGGAGAGGTCCTTAGCACCAGCCATGCCCGTTCCTCACCAGCCCTGCTCTGCTGTGCCCGATGGGCCCCTCGGATGCGCTGAACTTTCCCAAAGCTCCCATTGAGATGTCAGTTACATGGAGTCTGTCCTCAGTGCCCAGTGCACTGCGGGTGTGCAGTTCCCGCTGCCACTCAACGCTGAGAAGAGCTTTGTTGCCTTCTGCCCCAGCTTGCGGTCTGTCCTGTGCCATTCCCTTGCCAGCCTCGCTGCCTGCCTCTGTGCCCGTTGCAGCTCTCTCTGCAGAGCCAGTTCCACCTGGTCCCCTCTCTGCTTTCCCTGGACACAGGCGGACTAGAGGTTCTTCCTGACAGTGGTCCCTGGGACCGGCTTGTAAAGTGGGAGTGTGAGGACTCCTGTCTGACCCACTGCGCATGCTCAGGAGATGTCTGCTGATGGACACGGGTGGAGGGCGGGAAGGGCCAGTGAGGCCTTCAATGGGCAAAGGCAGCTGTGAGCCCACACTGGTT